ATTATATATAAATTATATTATAATATAATTAATATATTATTATATTAAATATATAAAAAATATATTATAATATACTATTTTATATCATAAAAATACTACAATAATATTTTTATTCTAACTAATAAAATATATACTAAATAATATAAAGTAATATTATAATAATATAATACTAATATTATAATATATGAAATATTATTAACCAATATGTAATAATGATATATAATAATATTATATTAGATAATATTATATATATTTTATTATCTTATGTTATAATAGAATTTTATAATATAATATAATTAAGATATATTATATATTATAATACATATATTAGATATTTAATAAATTAGTGCTTCAAAATTATCTCACTTTCCTCATGATTGTCCCAAAGTTAAGAATGAGGTAGTTTTTGGAGGTTGGACAAAAAATTTGTATATAAGTGGGATATTTTTGGGAAAAGTGGGGGTAATTGTTCCAATTTCATTATCTCAATGAATAACACCTTAAAGTGAAATCCCAATCATATTCTCCCAATGAATAACACCATAAAGTAAAATCCCAAAAACTATCCCACTTACCCTAAAATTACACAAACTAATAACCCCCTGACATGTAGGCTATGAGATGCTACCTGCAAAGGGGAGAATAAGGTTGCTACCATTTTTCCTAAAAATACAAAAAATGTAGCGAAAAAGATAAAATAAAAGCAATCGACGACAATCAAACACAAAAAACCACCAACCTGGGACACACATGATTTTTATTGTGGCTCAAATAACAATCATATGTCCACTCTTTCTTATTAAGAAGAGGCTTCTTTACTATGCAAAGATTTATCCTGAATCACAATCCTGATTCAGTAGTCTTACAAGACCGCGTCCTAGAATCTACCTAAACCCAATAATCTAGTCTAACTCTCCATAATGAGTAACACCTACCACTAGCTAATCCCGACCCTCAATTAATCTAGCTTGAGTATGCCGTAAAAACAAACTCAATCATAACAAAACCAACACAAAAAGTTTAAGCTCAAAAAATAAAGAAAGATCTTACAGCCTTTTTGTTAAACAAATCGTCATTCGATGAATATAAGTGTAGCTCGATGAAGAACGGTGTAGAGAATCAATCCCAGGGCAACTCTCCTCACTAAAACAATCTGAGATGTTGTGTTAACAAGTTAAGAGTTTGTCGAGCTTTTATGATCAAATCCTTCAATAAAATCTTTGATAAATTAAACCTTAGAACTTCTCTCTCTCTCTCTCTCTCTCTCTCTCTCTCTCTC